CTGCTCCTGCCTGCAAGGGGTCTCTTTGCTTATCAGCCAGCACTCAGAGGATCAATCCAGAGCAGCTGAATTGTCCCGGGTGCTGAGAGACAGCCCTGATAAGGATTTCAAGGCACACTCTCGGGATGCTCCCCAGCCTGCCTTGTTCTGCCTGATTCAAATGTCCAAGAGGGAAGGTCTCCTTTAACCGAGGACAAAATGACTGAGCTAAAATTTTGGGGAGAGAGGAGCGACAACAAGTTGACCCGCTGCGTGTGGTACCCGAGGAACTTTCCTTCTCCTCCCTTTCTGTACAGATTTTTCCCTGTAGAGGTTGTGTTTGCTTTAAAAATGAGCCTTCTCTGGTTGTAGCAAAAAAGATTTGATTTTCCTGATATTTTAGTAGATGAATAAGAATGATGTAATAATACACACATCCATGAGATTTGTGCCTCCAGCATCACCTGAATGATGCTCTGGGTGTGCTACTAAGTTACATTTTCTCATGTGGGCTGATTTATTCCCAAAGTTTTGTTTCTCTCATGATGTAACCTGTCCCAGAGCAGAAACACAGAAAAAAGATGGAGATGGATGGGTCTGACAGATGTTTCATATGGCATCTGAGAAAGCTGGCTATCAGGGACAGAAAAGCTTTCTGCTAACAGTTGTGCAAGCATTTCATTTCTTCTCATCTCTGCTGGGTAGAGCTAGGAAGAACCTCATTTGCTTTTTAACCCACCCAGAACCCTTCTTATGAGTTAGAAGGTCTGCATGTAGCCTTTTTGCCTGTTTCAGGTGCATGTATTGATATATAAGATGCCTTTATGTGGCTTATTTTTCTTTTTAATTTTTTTTTTTCTTAAATTAAATATGGAAATGTAAGAGTGTTTTGGATTTGGCTTTTTGTGCCTTTTCTTATGTGATGATTTTTTTTTTTCTTAAATATGGAAGTGTGAGAGTGTTTTGGACTTGGCTTTTTGTGCCTTTTCTTATGTGATGATGCCATCGTGTGGACATTGCTAAGAGCGAGTTGGAAACCACACCTAAATCATATCCATGTTTGTAAGTCCTGTCACCCACAGCAGGAGGAGGTTTTTTGGGGTGGAAGAGTGTGGAGGATCTGCCATTCACACTCCCTGTATTTCAGGTGGGGTCCTCTCCAGTTTGACCCTGTGGCTGCTCTTAGCAATTATCACACATACCTAGAACTATACTTTACTGGAACAACTATCTTCTATTTCCATTTCAGCTGAAAAGCATCCAGCTCATGTGCTCTGCAATCACCCACAGGGAAGTAGCTAGAGGCATTAAGAGCACCTCAATTCCTTTCCTCATCCTCATTTACTCCTCACCTGGATTCACATGACAAAGTAGACACACCCTTGATAAGAAGGTGATATGGCAAGCCCTTGGGATCTTGTGTAGGCCCTTAGAAGCTCTGGAAAGGATGCTTTTGTGTCCCTTAGTGCAGGGGGTTAGTGCTGTTAGAGGGTTGTGCTACCCTCTTGTTCTGACTGGGAAGGTGCTCCTGGAACCAGGAAAAGGAAGCCACTCTAAAGCTTTTCTCCATTTCTTGTCCCATTAGAAAAGGAGACTATTGCCTAGTTTTTGGGACTGATACCAAGGAAGTCTCCAAGAGCTCACTCACAGAAAACCCTGTGTCTGGTCCTAAGAGCTGAAACAAGGCTGGTAAAGCTGGGGAACCACCAATGCTTTGGGGATCGCAAAGCAAAGGAGGAGGAGGAAGATGTTTTTGGAGCAAGGCACAAGAAATGGGTGAGAACTGATTGCATGATTCCATTATTCTAACGTCCTTAAGGTTGAACCTATCCTGTATTGATTTGAGCCACAAACTTGGTTAATAGTTGCTGCCTTCACCAAATACTTGGGGTTTTTTTATAAAAAAAAAATGACTGAGCTGGTGCAGTTGCTTTCAAATCCCTTCTGTTCACTGAAAAATAGAGCAGCAGAGCCCTAAACTGGCTCCCTTTGGTGTTGTGATGTACTGAATCTATTTATCACTCAAAGACTCAGCAAGCCAAAGCTCTGTGATCTCTAGCAAATAATTTCCTACCCCTCTACTGATATACATCTGTAGCAGGCAGACATAATCTGATTTTTGTTGAATTACCCGTGTGTGTTTCTAAGAGCAAAAACCTTAAAGCAGATGTTGCCTTGTTGAATTGCACATAACCTATTCATTTGTTTGCTTGTCTGAACACAGATCCTTAAAAGTATTTTAGGTGCTCATCACTCACCACTTCCAGCACTTTCAATATCTAATGACTTTGTATGTTTGTTTTCTACAATACGTTTCACTTCTGAGCTGTCACTGGATGAGTAAACTTTCATGGGTGTTTGGTTCTTGCTACCGATGTGTTTAGGTAACCAAAAAAACTTTAGTTTCTTTTCTGCAAGCAGTGCATGGTGTGATGTGTTGATTTGCCAGCTTGGGAGGCTTTCCACGTCTCTAACCCTAAATAACCTGGTGATGCCGGAGCCAATTTTTAACGAGCAACAAAACAATCAGGACAAAAATTTCTTTATGATTTGTTGCCTCTGAACCAAGAAAAAGCAGCTAAATAAACTCCTTCACCAGTCTACCTGCATTCAAAAGCTCCTGCTGTTAATTTTGAGGCTTGTTTTACATGGTGTATGGAGTCACCAGAGTTAACTTTGCTCTGTGGAGCTTCTTGTGATTGTTTGCAAAGGGTTTGCAAAGGCATGTGAGGAATTAGTATAAACTTCATTGATTGAGATCAGACAAGTTGTAGGAGCAGATATCACTCAGTTTTTGGGTGCAGGGTGTGGTATTTGCCCAGGAAGGGCAATGAGAAGAAAAGAAAACAGAGGAAAATGCTTGTACTTGCTTTGAAAATGTGACTGTCTTGTTTAAAGAGAGTATGGGGATGTAACAGGAAGGCTGTAAGGGAAGGACTGATACAGGCCACCTACAGCAGCCAAAGAGGTGGCTGTGGCAACAAGAAGTGACTTGATTCACCCAATACCAGCAGAGACAACAACAGACAGATGGCTGTGCTCTTTGATTAGATTAGGGCTACGATTAGATGCAAATTAAAAAATAACAGGGAGCACTAGAAATCATTTTGCTGCAGTACTCTGTTTTTAGAGCTGGCCCAGCAAACCCATATTCTCCTAAACAGGCTTCTTGTAGGTTAGGGCTGGCATTGCCTGGGGGTGTTCCCCACCAAGATATCACTCAGCTTTTGGGTGCAGGGTGTGGTATTTGCCCAGGAAGGGCAATGAGAAGAAAAGAAAACAGAGGAAAATGCTTGTACTTGCTTTGAAAATGTGACTGTCTGGTTTAAAGAGAGTATGGGGATGTACCAGGAAGGCTGTAAGGGAAGGACTGATACAGGCCACCTACAGCAGCCAAAGAGGTGGCTGTGGCAACAAGAAGTGACTTGATTCACCCAATACCAGCAGAGACAACAACAGACAGATGGCTGTGCTCTTTGATTAGATTAGGGCTACGATTAGATGCAAATTAAAAAATAACAGGGAGCACTAGAAATCATTTTGCTGCAGTACTCTGTTTTTAGAGCTGGCCCAGCAAACCCATATTCTCCTAAACAGGCTTCTTGTAGGTTAGGGCTGGCATTGCCTGGGGGTGTTCCCCACCAGGACCTTGTGTGTGGCCACTCTGTTTTGGAGAGTGCTCATCACTCATGAGGAATGAGAGCAGAAGTGATGCAGAAAGCTAAGGCACGCAAGACCTTTCTTCAGTCACTTTAAAATGCTTCATTGCTCCACTTATGAAATTAATTTTAATGAGCAATTAGGGCTACAAGCCAGAATAAGAGCATGACTAAAAAAAATGTCTACAAGATGTAGATGTATCTCAGTTCATATGGCTGGATGATACCCTTCCTGGAGTAAGTAAGGATTTGAGGTGATCTCTAAGTTGATGGGATTTACCTTCAGGGACTGGGGACAGGCTCTGTCCCTCTGCTCACCTGTCCCTAACAGGAAAAAAGAGGAGGTTCAAGGGAATTGTAGATAAGTCTGTGTAACTTTGTTTGTTGGAAGAAATAAATGCATTACATACTTTGCAAAAGTCTAGACAGTAATAAGAAAATGGGAAAGAAATGTATTTATCATGTTTGACTCGTATGAAACTGATCTATTTTTTTGTATAAGTTATAGTTGACTCAAGGAGAGAATTTTTATGGGGTTATGATGGTGTTCTAAGTGATAGTCTGGTAAGGAAGCTCATGATCATAGTTGTTTTATGGGGTTCTAAGTGGTAGTCTGGTAAGGAAGCTCATGATCATAGTTTGCAATGCACAGTGATGCTGGTTTATGCTCTTCCCAGAGTCTCAGCTGCAAGGGCATGAAGCTGGATGGAGGCACTCAGTGGGGGATTGGCCATACTTGGAGAGATCCTCAAAGTGTGCTGGGAGAGTGTCTGACCCCATGCCACTGCAGTCATCAGGGGTGAGCCAGTGTCCTCCTACTGTCTGGGTCAAAAAAAAAGAGTTTTTAAGTACTGAAAGACCTGCTGAAATCACACTGAAAGTCTTGGCACCTGGCATAGAGTTAGGGAGATTAATGACAGAACTGGCTGTAACTGCAGACCTCTTGAGGTTTCTTATCTCAGCATGTGGGACAGCACCACAAGAGGTCACCCATGGTTTTTATGGTTGTGTGACAGGGCAGGACCATGCCTATAACATGCATTTGGGTCTGAATGTGGTAATGCAGCTGAAAACAGTCCCAGCTGCTGCACATCCCTACAGTCTGTCTTCTGCTCTGGGGTGCCACCAGCTAGGACCTGTTGATAAGTATGTTGCAAGCCATGGTGGCCCATCTGTTGTTCCTTCAAAGACCACACCTGCCTCTCCCTGTCTCAAAAACCCCTCAGTGTGTTGCCCCGTGACACCAGAGACCAAAGAGCCTCAACCTGCGACCTCCATGGCCATCTGGTCTGTAGTCCTCCAGGAACAAGTCCTACTTGGGGTGGTGCTGTGGTTGGTGCAAGGCAGAGAATTACCACTTACTGACTGCCAGGACAAAGATGGCAAAGATACCAATCACCTGCCAGAGGCGCAGCCCCCAGATCACCACCGTCTCTGAAGTGACAGGGTCCGGTTTCTTTTTTGGGGGTTCTGTGGTGGCCTGGGAAAGAGGGAGAAGAAAAAAAAAAAAGAGAAATTTTGAAAGGGTCCCTCAAACAGTCAGGAAGATACCAGTAGCACAGGAAATGGTGGACTTCAATTTATTGGCCCCCCAGTTTTAAAATCTTTGAGGAATAGAGACTTAATTGAAGAGCTTATATCTCTAAAGCTCCACTGGTTATTGAGTGTGTCTTCAACATCATGGGAGTGTCTGGGTCAAAGAGCCTTAGATGGTGGACCCCAATTTATTGCCCCCCCCAGTTTTAAAATCTTTGAGGAATAGAGACTTAATTGAAGAGCTTATATCTCTAAAGCTCCACTGGTTATTGAGTGTGTCTTCAACATCATGGGAGTGTCTGGGTCAAAGAGCCTTAGGGATAGCTGCCTTTGGCAGAAGAAACTTATCTGGAGTGACCATTTAGATGGAAATAGGACAAAGACCTGATGGAGTCCATAGTAGCTAAAAGTTGGATAAATGAGGACCCTAACTCTTGTTGCAGACTCAGTCCTTAGTTCTTGTGTGCCTCAGTTCCCCATCTCTGAAATGGGGTTGAATATGTTTCACAGGTGTGTTAAGAGAACAAACAGGTTGTCAGACCAAGTCATGTGGTCCCAGTGCAGCGATGACATGGTAGGGTCACACATATCATTTATTCTCTGGCCTTATGGCTTAGAAAATCAGAGGTTAACAACCTCTCGCTGCTAATGAGCTTCAAGTTGTGATGTGTTGTGCTGCAGGAAATCAGAGAGTTAAAACCTGCTCATGACCTTTCAGGAGGGTTGTTAGCAAAACACCTTCATTGCCTTCTATCTGAATGTAAGACCTAATCTGCATTGGCAATAGCCTTTTGATAGAAGCTGAAAACACTTCAATTCTAAAAGAAATATCTCCTAAACAGGCACATCTGATTCCCTGCTATGCCCTTCCCTTCTTAGCCCGTGAAAGTGCTGTTAAAACACAGCTGTAATGGAAACCACAGAGTGAATTGGAGCTGGAGCTGCTCTCCAATTACTTGCCTATTTCTGCAATACAAACCATATTTTAGTCTCTTCCTAATGAAGGATGCTTCCCGCCATGTCTGGAGTGCTTTGTCTCCCGGGGGCACCTGATTCAGAATCCATCTGTGGTGAATAGCATTGTTGTCTGAGCTTGTCTCTTCTAAGCTGCCTTGGTCACAGCTCATTGCAATTTGTGAGGGCCACCCTTCTCCCACAGTGCAGGGACTGGCAATGGGGCAACTGGTGGTCAAACACCAGAATGTCTACAGGTGATTGAGGGAGAAAGAAAGTCTGGCCAGAGTGGTATGGTCTTGTGGAGGCCTCTGGGACAATCAAAGAAGTAGAAATCTGTGACACTCAACACTGAAAGATCTCCCTTTTCTACTTCTTACAAAACATCCAGCAATGAAGAAAAGGAATTGGAGCAGCTGGGGTAGACAGAAGCCCACAAACTTGAATGTAAGAAGTTCCACCTAAACATGAGGAGGAACTTCTTTACTTTGAGGGTGGCAGAGCCCTGGAATAGGCTTCCCCGGGGAGATGGTGGAGTCTCCTTCTCTGGAGACATTCAAACCTGCCTGGACAAGTTCCTGTGGGACCTGCTGTAGGTGGACCTGCTGTGGCAGAGGGTTGGACTAGATGATCTCCATGGGTCCCTTCCAACCCCGTGTGATTCTGTGACTCTGTGATCTTCCTCTAACTGCTGCACGATTTCTGTAGAAACCTCCACAGAGATGGAACAAGTAGTAAGCATTATTTTGATGTTTAAATGTTTTCCAGTATAAGTCATGAAGGAATGATAGACAAGCTCATAGACTAGTAAAAAGGTGGGGAAGATGTAAAGAGACAGAAAGGTCAGGGATGTGTTGACATATTGAGTGCTACTGCAATTGTGTGCCTCAATAGGAGGACATCCTGAGATTCTGGATCAATGTAGAAGCATCAGTAGCAGGATGGCTAATGATTGGAGCACTTGCTACCAGTTTATGGACAATTCTGGAGGAAGTCGTGGATGAAGATCAGTATAACCCTAAACAAGGCTGGACTTGCATTGGAGGGAAGAAACAACAAGGTTAAACATCTCCGCCACTTCTCTTGTTTTCACAAAAGCTCTTGTTGTGAACCAGTATGTAAAGTAGTAAAATATTTTGCTTATTTAAGAAAAAAGTGCAAAGGGAAAAAGTATGCAGAATCATGACTGTTCATGAAGATACTTTTGTTTAATCACTAACTTTTCCTCATGTTATTAGAGTGACTTTCAAATGCTAGGGCTGAAGTGTGCAGTGAAATTACTGTAGTGTAATGGTCAAGCTACCCCATTTTACAAATTATCACATATAAGCTGATCTATGGCACTGGGATGCAGCAGCAGATGTCTAAATTTGCATTACTCCACGTGCTGGCCAGACAACGTGTCCAAACTTTTAAGCAGGATGAAGATGCAACACTAGCCCACATCTGATCCTCTTAGCTTTTGGAAATAACACATAGAGTGGGGAGGGGGGAAAAAAAAACATCTTAATGAAAGTAATTCTTAGTAACTTCAAGAAACTGGAGCTGCTGATTTGCGCTTGGAAATAAATGTCAAGATTTGGAGCTGTTGATTTGTGCATGGGAATAAATGTCAAGATCCAGAGTTACTGATTTGTGCTTGGCAATAAATGTCAAGATGACAGAATGATTGGATCGGGGACAGAAGGAAAAGATGCAAGGAGGTGAAACACAGCAGAGATACCACTGGGATAAGGGAATTCTTACGCAGCCCCGAGGCGGGGGAGTGGTGGTACCTAGTCCCATCAAGGGTGAATTTGTGCCCTTGGCCACCAGTGTGGTCCAGAAGTGGAAGATGGGCAGATGGATGAAGAGGTTACGTTTGGTATAAAGACTAACAGCATTGCTTTATCTGTGCAAAGCAGCTGCACTACAGCTCAGATTTGGGTTTCCAGGTTCTAGATGCTCAATGTAGAGCACGTAAATCCTGCTCTTGACATCCAATTCTTTGCTTGCTCCCTGGGAGTAGGAAGTGTCCCAGGAAGAGAGACAAGGGGATTTTTGGGGTGTCCTAGGGATCAAGTGGTTCCCTGCTAGGAGCCTGAACAGGGGCTGGTGGCCCATTACTGCCCCACGCTTTGGGTTTCCAATGCCTCAGACCCTGTAGGACTAGTTCTGAGGGGGGCATCTAAAGTTGGAGCCAAGGCTGGACCATGTTCATGATACCCTGGCCTCTCTCCTGCTGTATTTCCCACCATGGCAGGTTCCCCCAGATGTGGAGGCACAACTTCTGCTTCCAGTGAAGACTGGACTATGCCAAAGACTTGGATGGCATGTCCCCAGATGTGGCAGAGGCTGGGTCTCAGAGTTGCACTGTGTGCAGGCATCCATCACCTTTGCAGCTTCTCCAAGTGCCCAGCAAGGACTGAGAGAAGGAAAATCTACTCTATAAGGAGCTGGATCTGAACTGACATTGGACACTCAGGGCTGTAAAACATCTACTACTAAACCCCAAAACGTTAAATCATTTCCAGGCAAGTTGCGTTTTTAGGTCAGAACAGTTTGACACTGGTTCTTTTAACTAGAAAAAAAAATAATAATCTATATATATAAAAAATCATGTTGGCTTTGTTTCTGATTCATCTCAGGCAGGCAGAAACTGTCAGTGGTGCTGGTGGGGGAAGCAGAAGTATTATCCCCAGTGGAAAAGGAGATAGTTGCTGAAGACAGGAGTTTTATTCGCTCCATTAAGCAGCAGAGAAGGAAAATTGTAAAAGGCACAGCTTTTCAAGGTCCTCTTTGTCTTTTATTTATTTTTTTTTTTAAATGTTCTTTCTAATTAGGCTTGACTGGTGTTGCTTTGCCTGCAGCATGGCTGGGCCTTGAAAAACTAACAATGTTTATTCCTAATTGCATTTGATTACACGTATCTAAAGGCCACAGATGGTTTGGGAGGACTGAGTTTTAAATAAATACACGTGCACACTCTTTCCCTTCCCTTTCTTCCGAGTAACAAGAAGGAGAAGGACAATGTGACAATGGACCCCCAAGTAGGCAAAACTTATGTAGTGAGGCCATCAAAATTTTCTGCAGTGGTGGGGAAAACCTGGCACGGTCCAGATGCAGCACTGAAAATACAGTAATGATAATTGATCTGTGGCTTCACAGGTCAAGGGCCAAGTTAATTGGCTTATGTATTTAAGAAAAACCTCTTTTTTTTTTCCTCTCTGGACCAGTTCATGGTCTTGTGAACAGCCGTTTCAAACTGAACCCTGATGCTTCTTTTCCTCTGAAACTGGCAGCAGTCACTCAACAGCCTCTTTAGCATAGCTGTAGCATTTAGGATAGTTGTTTATTAGGAGAGAAAATAGATTTATTTATAGATGCAATCTCTCTGCAAGTAATGAAAATGCTCTGATAACATTTCGAAGCTTTTCCTTAGTGTTTATGTGGGTTTGGGTCTGGGAGGCTTCAGTGAGTTTGTACCATGTCTCTGTCCCTCTCTCTTGAGCCTGTCTCCTCAGACAGACTATGGCAAATTTTCCAGAATGTAGCTTTTATAATTTTGTATAATATTTTGAATCCAGCTGACCTGAAATACTGGTATCTTCCTTAAAGATGCCATTCTTAAAGTGAACACTTACTTCAAATTGTGTGTGTTGCTTGTGTATGTCTTCCTGAACTATTATTTTCTTGATTAACTCAATAGCTGACAATAAGAAAAACAAATCTATGCATCCACATGGGAAATCACCCTCAGGAGTCCACTATAACTACTCAGTAATTTTACCTGCCTTCATTTAAACTACAATCACATACGAGTATTTTCAGATTATTGCATTGAGCTTCACATCCATCACGTTCACTTGGAGGCTACAAATGAGGGTTATTGTCCCTGGAGTCCAACTATATAGAGCTAAGTGTAGTATAAACTGAACTCCACTTAACACCCTGTGTAGCAAATACATAATTTGTCTGTACAGCAATTTGAAAGTGAAAGGTCTTGGGAAA